TCAGTCTGGAAAATTCTAGCAGTGTGGCTTTTCAGAGCTGGCTTTGTGTTTCCAGAAGACAGGCTGCTTAGCAGACTGGTCAAGTTTTTGGCAGTGGTAGGGAGTAGGGGGGAAGGAGGGAAGGGAAGAGAAGAAGAGAGGAGAGGTGGGAAAGGAAAGCAAGAGAGAAGAGGGAGAAGAGGTGGGGGGAAACATGCTGGCTGGGATTCAGTGGAGTATTTTGATGAATAGAATCTAGTATGTAGCAGTTTCAAAAATATCCACTTACTCATAAATTCATCAGACTCTTACCCAGGCGTGTTGCTAGAAGCTCTCCCTCTCTTTTCAGGGATGGCAGGTGGTCTTTTAGCCTAGACCTGCTGGCTGATCTTCTCCAAGAGCTGTGGCCTTTGCCTAGGGTTAGTTTTCAAGGGGAAGGGAGGTGGGGGACAGAAAGAGGGACGTTCCGGGCTGACCTCAGGCAACTTCCAGACGTTGGCGCTCAGAGTGTGGGGCTCACATTATGAGAAGCCCCCATCTCCAGCATTTACTTTCTCTCCAATGGGTCGTTCCAGGTACCGCTGTCCAGTCTTGAGTCACTTTCATGTTGGGAATTGATCTAGAAATACACATCTGGAAGTATCCCCTTCCCTTTGAACAGTCCTTGAGAGCTATTTCTTGATAATCAGTAGCATTTGATTATAGGTAATTTTAGGTTGCCAGAGTGGCTGTTGAATTCAGAACAAAGGCTCCTATTTGGGGGCAGTGTTGAATGAAGACAGGTCCGGTTCTGAGGTACCCATAGCTATGGCTGCCCCAAATGAACCAGTAATCCTGGGTAACTCACTTCAGTTTTCTGTTTCCTCACCTGTTTAAAAAGATGAGATAAATGTATTATAATAGGACATTACCATCTCTAACTTTACTTCCACCTTCAAAGTTGAAAGAATGTATGATCTCTGCAGTTTATTATCCCACATTCTTAAATTATTTCAGTAAAACTTGAGCAAGGTGCAACCATTTAATGATTCATTTAAAAAATGATATAGTTACAGTACCTCTTTATTAAAAGACACCTGTTAGATACATACACATTTACAGACATATTTGTGTTTATAGATGGATAGATGTCTGTGGGTATTGATCTTAAACTGTTTTATTGTTGTTATTCAAATAAGTCAAAACTTGACAATATGTATACTAAGTCACAAATAGAAGAAAATGGGTGTTTTTTGGGTTGTTTTTCTAGCTACCTGACTCTTGCATTGTATGAAGCAGAGGTGTGCAGACTGTGCTGTGTTGGACTTCAGGGCTCTATGGGGGTTTTCTGAAATCAAAGAAACCCTTTAAACTGTACTCACACAGTTGGGGAGCCCTGTTGACTCTGGTTTCCATGGCTTGCACAGTCTGTCCATACTCATTTCTCTCTCCCCTGTCATCTTCACACATCCCACTGTGGTCTCAGGTCTCACCAGCGTATGTATTACTTTGTGGGGTTAGGTGGCTCTCCTGCCTCGCCTACCTTGGTTAAGAATATCTTGTGGTCACAGGACAAGCTGTACATCAGAACTTTACCTAATATGGTGCAACCAGGAGAGCCAGCCACGGGGATAAAGCTGCAGTTGCTCCTAAACCCTGGTGTTACAACTTAATCAAACAAAATGCAAACAACTTAATCGTTCTCCCTGATAGACTTTATCATAAGAACATATTATACATTGAGCTTTTTAGAAGTGTTTGGAAGCCACAGACATAGTGATGAGGGCACAGATTTTAGAGGCAGTTTGGATTTGAGCCCTGGTTCCCATCCTTTCCTTATCACATGGCCTTAGACACAGTCTCTCTAAGCCATAATTGTCTCATCTGTAAAATGGGCCTGCTCTCCAGCAGGCCAGAAATGTTTCAGGATTATGGGTAGCTATACAAATGGGCCTAGTCCAGGTCCTAATATATAACAAAATGTTCAACAGTCGGTAGCATGCTGAGGATTACTCACTGTACTTCATGTTTGGCCACATAAGAATATATATAATTGTGTATGCATAGTTGCTTCATATACATGTGAACATAGCATATGTCTACCAGGGAAATATATTTTCTCATAATTTAGAGATGTTTTAGCAGATTGTAGTGACAACATTTCTCTTTCTGATACATACTTGTGGCAAATTAAAATCATTTCCTTCCTTTTTCCATTTTTAAAATGTGGGGATCCTTAACAGAATAATTTCTTGTACTTTAGTTTCTCCTAATAGGAAAAAATAAAAATCTAACAGGCGATTGGAATTGAAGCTCCAAAAATGCTGCTTTGTTTTTATGGACAGACTCTTTGTAGGTGGCCTGCAGAAATTCTTGCCATTGGAAATGTTTTTAAGTCCCTGGGAAGCTGAGTAGGGAAAAAAGAGCTAATTCAAAAAGATACCAACCATCCACCTCCTCTAACTTGCTCTCTGTTCCTGGGAGGGGGCACAGGAATAAGAAAACAAGACAGGCAACACCGGAAGTGAATGCCATTCTGTAGTCCATGGTAGTCCGCACTATTCTGATGCAGAGACTGTTTCATGGAAAACAGGCAAGGAAGCACAACGGGGCTTGGTGTGCCGCTCCCTGTGCACCCTACACACCACCTCCCATGCAGGCTGGGTGGGGAGGGTGGTCTCTTGGAGCAGGTGTGCATCCTGGCAGCTGCTGCAGCAGAGACCTCATTGGAATTCAGCAGCAAGAACCCAAGAGCATCCGGCCCTCCCTATCCCTGTGTTGAGAAAGAGCAGCGCCCTTTGTGCTCCACAGACACGTGTTGTCAGTGCCCAGGGATGCAAAAGCCAGGGGCATAAGCATTCAGCCCTTCGCCTTGTATCTGAGCTTGAGCGGGGCAGCCTGGGGCCTCTGGACCCTGGAGAACAGGCTCATAGCATTTGTGGCCAGGGATGCAGCTTTTCTTGTTAAAACGAAAAAGATTTGGACTTGAGATATCAGTGAGGGCACTAGGGGTGGGGATTTGGGGGTAGAGGCTGTTCTTCAGTGGAGATGGATTTCGGCTCCTGGCAGATGTGTTCCCCCGTGGAATGGGCCCGGTGGTTGTGGACAATGGTGAGCAGCAGTGGAAACTCCAGTCTGCTAGCTCTTCAAGGAAGCACTGGAAAGAGGCAAGTTGGCTCTGTGTGTCTTGTAATCATTGCTCCTGATGCAGTAGTGCTGGGGGTGGGGAGGGGATGAGAAGTGAGAAGTGGCTGCCAGAGTTTTATCTTGGGCCCACCAAAATGATCTGGGTTCTTGTTCCTCTTTGCTGCTCAGCTGTGCAATCTCCTTGTGTTTTCCATACCTGTAAACAGACTACAAAACTTCAGGTACTTAGATCTGTTGTTGTCCAAGGAGCATGCCAGGATTGAAAATTGTCCCTGTAAACAAAAGCTTAAGCGCTCATTATTATTAATGCATGTCTAAAGAGTCGGCATGTCCCCTGCTGTGTTTGCCCGAATGAAGTATTTACTCATGAAATTTAATACTTGGTCCAATTGGATCCCATCAAAAGCAGCTCTGATGTTTCTGTTGATTTCTTCTGCTCCCTGGAGGACTTTGTGGCTGACTGGAGGAGCCAAGGTCCTTGCAGGGAGGGTTGAGGGGTGGTGATCACTGGCACTGATAAATTGAGCTGCCCAGAGAAAAATTGTAAAAACAATATTGATGTAGATGTTCTATAGGGAGCCCAGCAAACAGCTTCTTTCTCTGCTCCAGAGAAAATCCTGGAGGGATTGGTTTGGTTCCTGGTTCTTTCTGTCCGATGGCTGATAGTCTTTAGAAGATGGTGAGCTGTACCATGGTCACTGGTCCTTTGACCTTGTGGGAACTCAGCAGCATGAGCGTCTCTCAGCTTTGGGTGATGTGGGAGTGACACACGTGAAGCCCTGTGCCGCCCATCACTTTGTGCTCTGTCTTGCCTGCCGTGTCAGCCTCTGATTCCAGGCTTCACTGAATTGGCCTGCTGAGATCATTTGTGCCAAATGATACTGAAATTCCAAGTACCTGCCCATTTGGTGGTTTTACCACCTTACTGTGGATGAATCAGTTGGTACTTGGCATCTATTTAAACAACTCTGAGACAGGAACGAGCCTGCAGCTGCTGCTTCCATGCTCTTTCCCTGCAGGTGGGGTTGAGCACTGGCTCCATGGGCATCTTGAACTATGGGGAAGCTGCCTTCTGGCCTCAGGCAATAGTCTGTGGTCAATGGCTGGAGGAGCCTCCTCCTTCTGGCTTCAGGTGGAGCAGCCAGTGGAAACAGGTCGGGAGAAGGACGGGGTTTTGGCCCGTCTTCTACCTGTGAGTGTGGAGAGCTTCCTTGCAAGTGGATTTTCCTGAAGGTCAGCGAGGGTCGTGTTCATACCTGTGTGGGTGGCAGACTGCGCTTTGTGACTTGTCTGGCACAGCCTCCTCTGGCTGGCTTGCATTCATTCATCATTCACTGGCTTCATTTTAGGCTCGAGGATGCTGTGATCAACCAGGCTGGCTGCTCCTCTGGCATTTGCAATCCAGTGGAGAAGAAAGAAACAAGATTAGGAAGTGAATGAATCTTTGCTAACAACTTAAGAGAAATGCTATGCAGGAGGGAAGTGGAGAGGATGGTGGGGTAAAGTAGGAAGAGGGTGAATGGAAATGTTATTTTAAAAGTTAGGGACTCGAAGGGTGTCGAACACATAGACTACATCTGTATTTGTTTGACTGAATCAGTGAAAATAGCGGGTGCCGAAGTCCCCTGTGTGTATTTGCCACTGAGGTGATACGTGTGTGTGTGTTTGGAGTAGAGTTGAGCTCAAAGACTATACCATTTGGGCACAGCCAAGGGCAGTGGTAAGATTCAGCTTTGGGAATTACGCCACCAGATGATTTTTCTCCTGTGTTCTCCCAAACAGTTGAATCAGCCAGTGAGTCCAAATCCTTTCCCTGAGTCAGAGCCATGCCCTCCCTGCTCAACAGAATTTTCCTTTGGCCCATGTCTAACCTGTGTTTCTCTTCTCTCCTCCAGGAGTTCGGACTCTGAAGAAGCCTTTGAGACCCCAGAGTCAACAACCCCTGTTAAAGCTCCACCAGCCCCGCCCCTGCCACCCCCTGAAGTTATCCCAGAGCCTGAGGTCAGCGCCCCACCAGCTTCAGAAGAACCAGGTAACCAAGGGGCAGGAGCCCAGAGGAGCCTGTGGTGCCTCTTCCTGGAGCTCAGCTGGAAGCAGAGAGCCATCCCAGAGGACAGAGAGACGGGGGTCCCTTGGCTGTGGGGTGTTTCTTACATTTTGTGCCTATTCAGGAAGCAGGCAGGGTGGGTTGTGCTGGGTGTGTTCTTAGAAGTGTGTCTACTTGTTTTGCTCTAAGGGCCTTTTGCTTGAACGCTTGGATGGGTTTGAGGGCTATGTAACTGGGAAAGGAAGATTCCAACAGGGACTTAGATTCTGTGTTTGACACCTTGGTCCCACAAGAATGCTGGTTCTGGACAGCTTGTGTGACTCTGTCCTTATATTCCAAGAAAATAACTCCCACTGGCCCTAGGAGTGAAGAGAAGGGAGGAAATCACATCAGCCCCTACTGACTGATCCTCATCACTCTCATGTTAACTGATTTTTAAAAATCACTTTCCCACATCATTCCTCTTGTATGATTTAAAATACCACTAGATACCATGTGGATATGGGGAACTGAGGGGTGTGGAACAGATATCCCCACCGGAATCTCACATGGATGGTGTTCTGTGTGCTTCCCCTAGTTACACCAGGGGTTTGGCGATGGCACTGCCTCTGGTGCAAAGTCTGATATGAGGCCCAGGAGGAGATGCAGCCTGCTGGAAATGGTCCTTTAAACTGGTCAGACACAGGGATTGCTGTCCTTAGACCTGGACAGATCTGGGCCCACGTTTTTGAGGACCTGCTCTGAGTTTTCTCAGGCTCTGTCCCGACCCATGTAACAAGTCTGCAGAGCCAGCTCCCCAAGACCTTGCCTATGAGCAGCCCTTTGCAAGGGCCATCTCATTCCCAGTCTTGGCCCATCTTTCTGAGGGTTCTGTTCTTTCAGAGAAGCCAAGGATGGGGCTGGGACCTACAGGCATGGTCGTCCGCAGCCTGGCTTGAGGCAATGAGGGATGCAGGTGGGGGATGGAGTTGGCAGTGAGAGTAGGGGCAGACTGCAGGTGAGACTCCATTTGTCCCTTTATCCTGGCCAGGAGCCAAGCAGGCTGTACAATATAATTACATTTTGGCCTTGATGTTAGTTTTAGGAAAAAAAATGAGTGGAATTCATTTTCTCTGCCCTGGTTTTGAGCAGGCCAGTGATTGAGAAAGGATACACACCAGGGCTTTATTCCTAAACAGATAGGCTCCCTCATGCTGAGAAAAGACTGCCCGGTGTTTTCATCAGTGTGGATGCTTCGGCTGGTGTCTGGTGCATGAAGTTTTCGTATTCTCCCCTCTGACAGCTCCTCAGCCAGCAGCAGAGTCTGGATTCTGCTGAGTCAGTGTAGATGCTGGGCTCTGAGAGGATAACCATTATCCTGATTTTGATTAACTGGATGATCTGATTTTGTGGTGGAGAGGAGCCAGGAAGGCTGCTTACAATTCTTAGAGAGTCCTTTCCAGTCCCTCCTTTATTTTATATCATACTGCCTTATTAAAAACATATTTCCCATACTATTTTTACAAATTTGTCCACAGTTTTTAATGGAAAATAGCTGTTAGATAGCAAAACACATTGTAATCCTTAGGTTAGACATGTGAGAAAGGGCACATGTAGGGCAAGGCCATTTCTGTGACCCAGGGTGTATTCCCTGGCAAATGCCCTAACCACTCCTGGGAATTGTTTCCTACTTCTCTTTGTTGCTGTTTTTTTCCTTGCGCCTGACTTCCTTTTCAGCAGAACAGAGAACAATTTCTGTCCTTAAACACATGCACAGCTCCCATCTCTCTTAGATGGCAATTAATAGAAGAATGGGTATTATAGAGGCTTAAGAGATAACTCCCACCAGGGCAGGGGTTGGAGATGTGATTGCCGCTGAGTCACTGTCCCTTAGAGCCTTTGATTATGTCCACTGGAAACTGTGAATAGGGAAGACAGGGACTTTACGCTTTTCCTTGGAAAACTGCAATATGAAATCAACAATGTGAGAATTATACCATAAGAAGATGGAAGGTTGGAATCGTGTTTATTCAAAGCCCACCTGGGGTGCCGGGGCTAAAAGTCTATGTGACTTGCTGCCCGTGTTAGAAACTACCTCCCAGAAGTAGCATTCTGCAGATCTGCGCGCAGCATTGCAAAGGTGTGAGGAGGCAGCTACACTTGTTTGTGTCTGGGGCCATAGGAGAGGAAAGGTTTGTTCTGAGAACAATGGGAAAGAAAGGCAGGAGAGGAAATCTATTGTCTACTTTTCCTTTGCATAGTGCTTGGAACATTACTAAAACTGCTGAAGGAACCACACGAAATAATAGATAAGAACTTTGGCTGTGAATAAAGACATTTTTCCTCCTGGAAACCTACACTTTACAAAGCAGTCTTCTTGCTGTGTGTTGAGCCCTGTCATCATGTTTGTGCTCCCTGAGACAAAAGGACAGATACTGGATGCTTACCTTGTACCTGCCCCCATCTGGGGTGGGCCAGGGCTCAGTTCATCAGAGCCCAGTGTTCTTACCTTAAATGAAGAGAATGACGTGCGTCCTCTGAGATCTCTTCCTCTGACCTCCATGGTTCTATCCTGTGAGTGGACGCTTATGTATTATATATAGTGACTGTTATTATAACTCCAGAGTGGCTACTGCGGGACATAGTTCAGTGCCACATGGTTGTATAATAGCTCCCATTTATGCCTCTGCCTGTGTCAGGCCAGTGCCAGGACCTTTGCGTGTTTCATCTGCTGCCTGCGTCCCTTGCCTGTGGTCTTGCAGCAGGTTAGGGGCACTGGGGTTGGAGCTCAGCTCTCCACCTCGTCTGGCTCCTTTCAACTTGGAAACCAGGCTCAGGAAAAGGAGCAGTTGTGTTTGTGCTCCTGGCTACTGCTTGGTCCCACGTGGGTGCTCAGCTTGTTGTCATGTGCTTGCTGAGGTTCAGGCATGTGCAGGTGCAGCCTTGTACCACCTATTCTGAGAGCTGCAGCCCGGGGTGCACCCTGGGGCACAGGACCGGGGCAAGGGATTATCAGGTGGCAACAAGTAGGGGGTCAGTGGGCTGCTCAGTGATGTGGGAAGCCAAGGCAGGTTGCTTTTCTCCCCTGGGGATGAAGCTTGTGTGCTTACTCTTGGGAGGAGGCTGCCAAGCCTGGGGACAGGCCCTGTTGGAGTGTTGGTGGCAACTGGAACTGCCCCGTGTCTTGCATGCCTGCACCTTTCCTCGCTCCCCAGGAAGTAGTGGTCTTGAATGTGGATGGCTGTCTTCATATTGACTCAGGCAGGAGTTCAGTGCCAACTTAGTGATTTCTGTTTTCACCCGACCCACTGCCGGCAATCATGTTGCCATCCACACTGTCACTTGCTTTCCTCTGCTTTGAGGGAGCCACACAGAAGTGCTCCCCACAGAGACAGGAAGTCTTCTGGTATTCAGCCAGGAATCCTAGAGCCCAGCTAACCATCCTTGGGCAGGGTTGCAGGCAGTAGGTGGCACCATGGCATGTTCAAGAGGGGCCATGGCTGCTATGTCCTACTGTGTCCTGGGCTTGGTGCTTATGTGGCTGTCCCACTTCATCCTTTTAATAAGAATGCCTGGTTTACAGCTGAGGCTCAGGGAGGTCTAATAACAAGGCCACAGTCTGTTTTCGCTGCTGTAACAAAATTCCATAGACCAGGTGGCTTCCAAACAATAGAACTTTATTGCTTATGTTGCAGAGGCTGGAAGTTCAAAAATCAAGGCAGCTACGGGTTTGGTGTTTGTTGTCTGGTAAGGGGCAATGCTTGGCACATTCTTTCTTTGTCCTCTTATGGGAGAGGACCAAACAAGCTCTCTGGGGCCTCTTTTGGAAGGCCACTAATCCCATTCTTGGGGCTTTGCCTCCATGATGAAATCACCTCCCAAAACCACCCTGCCGTTAAATCACCTCAAGAGTAAGGATTTCAGTGTGAAAATTTGCAGGTGGGAGAACAGAGATATTCAGGCTGTAACACAGGGTGAACTGAGGGTCAGAGCTTCTCAGACACAGGTCTGTCTGCAGCAGTTCATTGGACCATCCTTAACTGGCTTCTTCCTGATGCATGATATGCCTGATACAGGTGGCCTGGTCTCTGGAACAGTCGGGGCAGCTGGGGTCTCTGATATACAGCCAAGCGTGAGGACCCCTCAGTGTCAGCTGGTGGTGGTGGATATCGCCTAGGCAGAGGCCAGCTCTGTACCCTGGGCCCTGGCCATTGAGCCAAGTATATGTGGGGCTCACTGCTGCCAGACCCAAACCCCTTTCACCCCAGGCTAGAGAGACAATGGGAAATCAGGGGCTGTGTAGACAGGTGAGGAAATATGAGACAGTAGTGACCTCATCTGTCCACAGTGGCCACACTACCCTGGAAACCTTAGATGGGGACACCAAGAACCACGCAGGGCCCTGGCCCCCTGGACACACATTTACTTCCCTTTGTGACCTTGCTGTGCACTATCTGTCTACAACTACCCAGTGTCCCCTGCCAGCTTAGCAAGCCACAGGTGTAGCTCAGGATGCTGGGGACCTAACAGACCACAGGGAAGTGGCTCAGCCCATTATCCCCAAGCAAGTAGGGGATCTGTTAATCCTGTCAGAGGCACCACTTGATGGTGATGATAATGGGACAACAATAGGATTGTGGGATTTGGTTCTTGGCATTGTGACAATGAGACACAGAAGGGTAAGGAACTTTGGGCAAGGGCACCAAGCCGACATAAGACAGAGCTGTTTGAGCCATTTCTTTCTTTCTTTCTTTTTTTTTTCCTGGTACCAGGGATCGAACTCAGGACCTTGTGCTTGTGAGGCAGGTGGTGGCACCACTGAGCTAAATCCCCAGCCCTGTTTGAACCATTTCTTGTCTGTTCCTGAACTCTTCAGTACCGTGTTCTCCAAATCGTAAGGTCATCCAGGTGGCCTCTTTATGCTGTCTTCAGCTTGTAAAGGAGGCCCTTTTTTTTTAGAATCTCATTTTTCTGCTCCTGATGACACTTGAAGGAGAGTGCAAAGG